GCACTCCAGGGGTTTTTGATCCTGGGTAAGTGTATGTGTGTGTGTGTGTGTGTGTGTGTGTGTGTGTGTCCCTCGTCTTCAGTTATTTGCTGCTGTCCCTAGAGGTCCTGCTCTTCTGGAAGGCGAAGGGAGGCTGTTGGCCCCTCCCACTTAGGGACCGCTGTGTTCCTGCTGTACCAGCTTGTTATGCTGGGAACACAAACTGCTTGGGACCTGGCTCTCTGCTGCCAGTGGCTGCTCAGCCCACAAGCTCAGCCCTGCTCTCCTGTCCCCAGCGCTCTGCTTGGTCGCACTGGTCAGCTCCGGCCTAGTGCTACCCTGATCCTAGCGCTTCCAAGAACAGACCGCTTCATTCCTTAGAAATCCAGCGTATGAAACATGGCTGAAAACAGGCATGAACTGAGATGCATTCTAAATGGAAACCGACTGCGGCATGTTGAATGTGAATGGCAGTCCTTACCTGTAAAGTTGTGTGTGCCTCACTCTGCAGCCTTCTACAGTACTGTGTCTGCGGAGCACTGACTGCTGCTGCCCATGCATTCAAGCTGCATTAGCAAGAAGCATGCTCTTATTTTATGCTTTAAGATTACAGGGATTAAATCAGCATGTCTCTGGGAAAGGATTATTTCAGCTCTTATAAACAGTGACGTGTGGTGAGGTGTGACTGACTCTTCCTTCTCATTGGCTTCATCTGCTCTCCAAGTCAGAGATGAATGAATATATGTAGAGAAAGTGGATTGTGGGCGGTTACCCAGCACACACAGCCAGAAACAGACCAGACTGCCACAACAGGACCGCCGCACTCAGTAGAGCGCTCACCTCCACCCTCACAGCACCCCCAGTTCAAGCCCTAGCTTAAGCTTTTTGTTTTGTTTTGAGACAGGTCTCTCTAACTGTCTTAGCCACGCTGGGTGCTTCTCGAATTAAAGGTGCACCACCATGCCTTGAGAGAGAGAGAATGTAAATAGCTAGACAACTGTATGGAGAGACACTGTCACTTTATCTAGCGTAAACAGTGGGTGTAATAAGGCTGCTCGGCCATTTTCACTGTCCGGCCTCCGCCCTCTTGGAAGCAGGTCATTCTCAAAAGTCACAGACATCAGCTCACAGTGATATAGCCATCCAAAGGAGCTTAATGCTTTTAGCTGTAGATTCTTCGGCTGGCTCTGGGAATTGAAAGCCAGAGTCTAACTGAACCCTTGAAAGGAGAGGGAAGGACTCTCTGGGATTGTGATGTGTGGCCACCAGCCCCAGTGACTCTGCTGCTGGAACACAGACCCGCTGCAGCATCTGGCTGGCCAGAACAGGGTGGCTGCGGCGCTGTCTTGTTTCTTTTGGTGGAGCCTCACACACACTTTTCATGTCAGGAAGTTAGCTAGACGTACGATTTGCCCAGGGGTCCCTCTGAAGAATGGATGCAGCGTGACCCTGTTTCCCCAGCACTGTTTAACCCAAAGCAGTCTTTATAATTCACTCCGGATGCATATTTATATAATAGGAAGACGCTGGCTTTGTGTGCTCCTATTGACCTGCGCTGTGTAAACACCAGCCGAGTGTGTTTTTAACTTACCATTCCAAGTTATTCTTTCCTGCCAAACATTTGGTTTTACAGAGTCCTCTGCAGTAGGGTCATGGGGCTAGATCCTGTAGTCCTGTTGGCACAGCTGTGGAACCCCGCCACACACGTCCATTACACACTGCCTGGCCACATGGTCCACAGCCTGTGCCTGTCATCTGGTCCTTATAATGCACTGCTGCAGAAACTGGCCACAAGAAGGAGCAAGCGTGAATTCCACGCCGTGTGTTTCTGCTCGGCATGGAAAGCCCGTCTCTGGACAGTCTGTGCTCTTTGTATCCAGAGTCCTAACTGTTCCATTGAGCATGTGCTTTGAGCGTCCATACATTTTCCATTAATGCCCGTGTTTGATGACCAGAGACATTTGGAGTTGTTTAGCTTCATGAGCCAGGCTCAGGCATGCATCTGAGATCCATGTGCCGTGTGCTCCTAAGTGCCGGTGGTATACATAGGAGACCGTGAACCTGCAGTGGAACTCTGAGGTTCCACCTGGACCCTTTCTACATTAGAATTCACCACTCCTCCCTTAACCACCTGCCTTTAGTCCCAGCACTCAAGATTGAGGCTCTGTGAGTCTGAGAACAGCCTGGTCTAAGTAGGATTTCCAGGCCGGCCAGGGCTGTATAGCAATTTTTTTTAAGAACCTCCTGCTTTTTACCATTAACCCTTTTCTCTCAACTCACCGTTTGTGCGGAAATATTCTCACCTTCAGAAACCACCTTTAGATTACAGCCTTGTCCGACCAGCTCCTCCTAGTGTGTCAGCCCCCCCCCCCCACTCTGCTGGAGCGTGTGCCACGAAGTCCCCATGGCTAGCTAGAGTTCATGTGACGTCCTTTTCCTTCCCTCAGGTACAGGTTTGACCTGCGTCTCATGTTCAGCAGTCACGGCAGCGTCAGAACGAGAAGGTTCTCGAGGCACCCTTTGTAGGGACCGTGCCAGCCTCTGCAGTTGGATCCTCACACACCTCTTTCTCATGAACTGGTCGCAGTAAGAGCCATGCTGGAAGAGCTCTGGCCTGGCTGTTCAAGTCCTATTTGAAAAGTCCCCCCGGTCAGCTGACTTCCAGTACTGTGACTCCAACCCTGTGTTGAAGTGGCTGACCCTGTCTCTTCCTTCAGATGACAACCAACACTCCTGAGGTCTTTGTCCTCTCCATGTCCCTTCATCTTGGGTGGGCACAATGTGTGATGACCTCCCTCGTGGTCAAGTCTGAATTTGTCAAACTGTTCAGATAAACGGCAATACTTTAGGGCAGAAAGAAAAGGCTTCTGGTATGTAGCTAGCCCCAAATCTACAGCCCTGTATAGCATTTCAGACTGAGCCTCGCCGTCAAACGCACACAGCCCTGCAAAGAACTGTCTGTGGAGAGGGAGAGAAGTGGTGTTTACAACATCGTCGTGGTACATGTGCAGCTTGTCACCCAAGCTCTGCTCTGTTTTGCTGGAACCCTGGGCTGTGCTGGTGCAGCCGGAGGCTGTGTAGGGTTAAGGTGAATCCCCCTCTGCTCTGGGGCCATCAGCTCCTCAGTAGCTCCAACCGTGCTGCGTGCTCAGAGGGCCTGGAGAGAAGGCACGCCAAGGGGAGGGCTAGCAGCTTCATGAGTGCCCGAGGCCAGAGCAGACCGGGCTTGGGTGAGCAGGTTGAAGGGCTGCACATAGAAGTGCCCGTCCGGGGGGTTCTCAAGTCAGTGCCACAAGATGTCATCGGAACCAGCTGCAGTTCGCTGCCTTTCTCACCTAACATGGTCAGTGACTCAGGGCTGTGAAGGACCAGCTGCTTTGTCCCACCCCACCCCCCATGTAAGCTCTCGAGTCTCCAGAGTCTTGACCAACTAGGGTTCAGTCGGTATTTCCTGTCCAAGGTTCCTTGCTTCCCAGAACTGCATCCTCCTGTTCCTTAGCTCGAAGACCATTTCTGCTCTGACATTTCTGCGGTAGGGCCGAGTGCGGGTAGGACAGCAGAGGAGAAGTGTGGTTCTAACCTGCTCTGTGTAGGCAGTAAGTGATTTTAGCTTTACACGGCCTCTGCCCAGCTTTAAACACTTGGAACACACAGTGAGGAGCCACTTTTGGGATCCCAGAGGCCATGTTGGGGCAGTAGCCATGGAGTTCATTCCTTTACCTCACATGACCCCATCAACTGCAGTGGTACTGAGACAGACAGTGGATGGACACTCTGCTGTGGCTGCTCTAGAGGGAGAGGGTGGGTACTGACTTCCAGACACCGTCTCCTGCGTTAGTGAGGGTGACCGTAGTTGTCCCCAGCAGCTCTCACCCGGCCTTGGACCCTGGTGCCATCGCCTTCAGTTTTGTGGCAGCGCCTGGAAGTTGATGAGTGTCTCTACCTCGCTGCCCTTACTATAGTGACACATTCGGGTGGTGGGGCATGGGGCCAGTCCTGCTGACACTGGAGTGGACCTCAGTTTACACCAATAGACCACAGCATGCACGGGTTCCCACCTACAAGGGCCTTGTAATCTGGTGTCTTCCTTGGAGGCCAGGCCGTGTACACTGGTGTCTTCAAAATAGAGAACCATGAAACCAATGTGGAACGCAGGGATTTTGCCTTAAAAGACTCAGTGTCTTAAAGCTGTCCCTCAGACACAAAGTAAAGGACACGCTTAGAGTGTCCTTGGGTTTAACAAGTGACGCTGTCGCAAACAGCTTCTGAACTGTCAGCGCTAGGGTTTTGTACAGAATAGTAAGGGTAGCTGTGGACGTTACAGCTTCATCTGTGAGGAATAATCTTAAACTTGCAACTATCCACAGACAATGGGTTTTTCTATTTTTTTTTCCTTTTTCTTTTTTTCTTTTTTTTTTTAAACAAAAAACAGGCCAGAATCCCCACGAGGAAGCCGAGGGCGCCTCAGCTGAGCTCCACTGGGTAGGCGCACACTGCGGGCTTTGGTTCACCAGCTCTTTCTGCTCAATGGACTTGGAAATTCTCTCCTTAGCATCATGTGTTCTGGAAGTCACTCTGCCCTGGCTCTGTGTCATCTCCCTCACTTAGAAAGTGCCCTTCGAAGGACCCTGTTCACTGCTGCACTTTTCAATGAATTAAAACTCGTTTCTGTTCCAGCGGGGGTGTGGCCTTTGTTCAGTCCACAAGGCGGAAGGCGCCTGCTTCACGGCGATTTGTGGTGCTGGACGCCAAACTCAAACCTGACAGAAAACCTTTCAGCGGCTGCGTGACGTTAATCACTGACCATTTCCTCATCTGTGCTCTCCACCTGAAAAGCTTTCACATACCAGTCCCTGCCAATTACCCGGCACCTGGGAAGATGGTTCAGTGGGTAAGAACACTGCCTGCTCTTGCAGAGGTCCTGAGTTCAATTCCCGCAACCACAGGGTGGCTCACAACCATCTGTAATGAGATCTGAGCCCTCTTCTGGCCTGCAGACGGAACACTGTATTCATAATAATAATTTTAAAAAAAAAAACATAAGTCTTAAAAAACAAGAACATTTGATCTTGCAGAGGACCCCAGGCTCAGTTTCCAGCACTCACGTGGCAGCCAACAACCATCTGTGCTTCTCTGACCCCCACGATCTCCTGCATGCACACAAATACGCATAAATTAGTTATTAGAGAGAACATCCTGATTCCTGATGAATCATTTCTACTGTTGAAGTCAACGGACGAACCCACCCACGAAGATGTGTTGTGATAGTCAGGGTTTTGAGCCATTTCCCTGAGAGAAAAAAAGACATCTTGCAGGAGTCAGCAAACTTTCTTAAAGGGACAGATACCCCACGTTCTAGGTTTATAGGTTACGTGGTCTCATCACAACTACATCACAAAGACAGTTGGGGCTATAGCTCAGGGGTCGAGTTTGCCTCGTTTGCACAAAGCCCTGGGTTCCATCCCCATCACTAAGTAAACTGGGTGTGGCGAGGCACCTTCAGCTCCAGTGTGTGGCTCTGCTCCAACTAAGAAAGACAAACTGCCAGCCAGGCAGAGTGGGTGACTTCACAGACCAAGGAGATGTTAGATGTTGAGAATTAGATTGACAGGTTACTGTCTGAAAAAAATAATTTGGGACTGAGAAATGAATCAGAGGTCAAGAGCCTAAGTGCTCTTGCAGAGGACCCAGGTTTGGTTCCCAACACCTACATTGTGTGGCTCACAACCACCTGCAACTCCAGCCTTCGTAGGTACTACAGACATGCCCAAACCCACACATACACACTTAAAAATCTTTAAAAATTAATTTGAACAGCACACTGAAGATCACCCCTATGAATCACAGGCCTGTCTGCCTCACTTTTGTGGGTGACAGGCAAAGTCCTACACTGAGGGGACACACGTGGGTTTTGTTGCAGGTGAGGAGCACTAAGCTGAGCCCCCTGCCGTTTCATAGCAAGCCTGCTCTTGGCCCCAGAGAAGACATTACCTCACCCATTGAAGTTGTTCACTTGCCAACAGTCCTGAGAAACGGCCCGCATAAACAGCGTTCAGGGGCTTGCAACTGGGGTGCCTTAGTTGACTCTTGCCCAACAACTCCCTGCTGGGTAATAGCAGGTGGTCACTGAATTGTATGCATTTTCTGCCTGACCACAGAGTCTAGAAGCCAGCAGCCATCCACAAATGCTGTGATGTGGTCAGGAGAGCTGTTTTTTAATCAACCCTGTGTTTAAGGTGAAGGGTGTGTATAGGTAAGTAATGAAGATGGGCACTGTGCTTTTATATATTCTAATCTCTATTGTGTGTGTGTGCACATCAGAGAACAGCTTCTGACAGTTCTGTGTGTGCGCACACACGTGCACATCAGAGGACAGCTTCTGACAGTTTTGTGTGTGTGTGTGTGTTTGCGCATGCAAGCATGCATCAGAGGACAGCTTCTGACGACCATGTGGCTCCTGGGATTGAACTAGAGTCCTCAGGCTGGACTGGAAGCATCTTTGCCTACTGAGTCATATAATCAGCCTCAGCACTGGCCTTTTGACAGAGAAGATACCAAAGCCTTAAAGAGATGATGAGGGAAAGGTAACAGTGGAGATGTTTTGGTCAGGATCTTGAGCAATACCTAGTCCTAACTAGAAAATAACAGTGCAGGATGATCACAAACTACCCAGAAAAAAAATATGGAAGGTTTGCAGATCCCTTTAGGAAATGTGAGACTTGGCTCTGTCTCACTGGCGAGCCAACAGCAGTCGGCACAGGCCCTCCTGGAGAAGACCTTACATCTCACCGTGTCCCGTTAACATGGCGCCTGTCCCTTGGAGCCCCTTCCTTCCCCCAGCAGTGGCTCTCAAGGGCTGGGCATATGCATGCAATGAAGTCAGATCCATGAACCACAGAATCCACATGACCCAACTTTAAAATCCTGTAATGAACTCTTCTGGTGGCATTAGGGATCACTGTAATTAGACCAGGTGAAGAGGTGGGGCCAGGTGTGGCAGCACACAGCTACAATCCTAACTCAGGATTGTAGCCAAGGCCAGTGCTGGCTACATAGCAAGACTCAACCACCAGAGTCCTAGAGAGATGGCCCCTTGGATAATGCACACGTGTGAGAACAAGAATGGATCCCTAATAGCCACGTGGGCATGGGAAGCCCAGCTGTGACTCTAGTGGCAAGAAATCCCTGGGACGAGCTGGCCAGCTGGCTAGCCTAGCAGTCACCAGTGAACCCTGTTCCATTGGCGGTCCTGCCCAACGGTGTGGAGGGGCTGGTTGTCAGCTTTGGGCCTCTGTGTATACACACACGCACACACACACACACACACACACACACACACACACACACGAGAGAGAGAGAGAGAGAGAGAGAAAGCAAAGAGCAAACACTCACATAGCCGCACAAATGGGAGGGATAGGAAATAAGAACACCGGTTCTTATGGTATCATAGCTAAGAGAGTTCCACATTATAGCTTTGTCTTGAAGGGAAGTACTTCAGAGCTGAGCTTGGCAGTGCATACCTATAATCCCAGCATGCAGGAGGGTCAGGAATAAAAAATAAAAGGCCACTTTTGGCTATGGATCAAGACTGAGGTCAACCTGGGCTATGTGAGACTATTTAACAAAACATGACATGGCCCCCTACCTCCCTGCGAGACCCAAGCTGCTCATGTCCCCCTCCCTCTCTCCCATTCTCCCTCCCTCTCCACCCCACCCCGTGTCCATTCTCTTAGCCTGCAGCTCTAATACTTGGTGATGATAGGTTCCCAAAGCATAGAGAAATAAAAGGGGCCTATAATTTTGTTAACCATTAAAGCTCAGATGGGTGGTGGTGGTGCACACCTTTGATCCCAGCCCTCAGGAGGCAGAGGCAGGATCTTGTGAGTTCAAGGCCAGCCTGGTGTACAGAATGAGTTCCAGGACAGCCAGAATTATACAAAGAAACCCTGTCTCAAAAAGCCAAAATCAAATCAAAACCGAAAAAAACCCTCATGGGCCTGGTGTGGTAATGCACACCTTTAATCCCAGCATGGTCAGTCGCTTTCTCAAAACAGGAATAAAATTTATTTTTTATTCAGTTTAATTTATCAAAGCTCACAAAGCTATTTAGTAAAATATATAATTTTTAAAAATATGGATTTTAAAGATCCAGGTTTAAGTTGGAAATGGCAGCAATAAACCTGTAATTCCAGCACCTGAGATGCTAAGATGGACATATGTTCATGGTTAGGCTGGGCTGCATAGTGAATTCTAGGCCACAACAAAACTCTCTCTCTCTCTCTCTCTCTCTCTCTCTCTCTCTCTCTCTCTCTCTCTCCTCTCTCTCTAACAAAGTGGAGCTTTAAGTCTATCTTTTGTTCTTTTCTGGCCAGGGGTGGAAATGGGGAGATGTTTCTTCAGGTCACCGCTGCACAGCGTGTCTCTTCGTGTGACGCCTAGAACCCTCCTGAGACATGCCATCTCCCACACATTCACCTCCATCCACAGAAGGAAGTCAACGACAGGATACGGCAACAGCTTGAGATACCGCAGCCATGTAATGAGAATGAATGGCAGCAAATACCTGAAGACCGCACTGCTCGGAGGAGTGCACGGGAGAAGGCAGAGAGGACAGGCAGCATGGGGAAGACTGTGGAACCTTGGGTGTGACAATAACACAAGCATCTCAGACTGCCCAGGACAGGAATGACTGAGAACCGTCATAATCAGGATGCACATGCAGGCTTAAGCATGGGCGGGCATAAATGATGATGATGATGATGACGATGATGATGGTGATGATGATGGTGGTGGTGGTGATGATGATGGGTGGGATGGGTTGGGGCCGTGCTGAATGGTTTTTGACCTGACACAAGCTAGAGTCATTTGGGAAGAGGGAACCCCAACTGAGAAAATTCCCCCACCACACTGAACTGTGGGTAAGCCTGTGCTACATTCCTGACTGCTAATGGGTGTGTGAGAGTCCGTTCACCCGGGGCGGTACCAACACCGTACAGATATTCCTGGGTGTATAAAAGAGCCAGTGGTGTCAACCCTAGGCGGGTGGTCCTGAAGGGCTAAGAAAGCAGGCTGAGCAAGCCAGGAGGAGCAAGCCAGTGAGCAGCACCCTCCATGGCCTCTGCATCAGCTCCTGCCTCCAGGTTCCTGCCTTGAGTTGTTGCCCTGACTTCCTGGGATGATGGGCTACAAGCTGTAAGATGAAATAAACCCTACCCTCCCCAAGCTGCTTTTGGTTCTGGAGTTTTACCACAGCAATAGAGACCCAAATGAAGACAGATGGGGTTGCTAGGTTTGAACCCTAGAATGTCCTAAGCCTGCTCTACCACTGAACTGCAGCCCCTGCCATATCCGTCTTTCTGAATCCACTCTTTCTGCGTTCTGCAGGGTTTGTCCCTCCTTTTTGCCAAAGCTTATTTAATGACAGGTGTCTGGGACAGAGCAAAGCTGGCCATTGGCAGAGATTCAACTCGTTTCCAAAGGGGACAAAATTACATTGTCCAGGTGCAGTAACCCACGCCTGTAATCCTGGCACTATGATGTAACCATCGTTGGGTCATTCCTCCTCAGTTCTTACCTCCAGGAGGCAGGAGGATTACACGCTCAAAGCTGAACAGCTAAAGCAGTCCACAGCAGCCCGGGATATACATAGTGAGCCCTTGTCTCAGACCAAGGCCTGACAATGTTGCTGGGCGGTGGCATTGCCCACTGTGCACCAAACCCTGGGTTTAATACCCAGCACCTCCTCCACCAAGTTTATGTACATGCCATGCACAAGAATATAAATAAACACGAGTCCCCACTTTTGCTCCTAAAAGGAGCAGATGTGTCCTTGCGGAATGCCCGCTAAGTGCTCGGCATATGTTGGAAAATATTTGAAGCGGCTCCCTGGCTGGCAGCTCATCAGTCAAACCTCTCTCCAGTGTGTTTCTGGAGCTCCCAAAAGCGACACAAGGGGCAGTCCAGCTGAGACTGCCGAGCACCTGTTAGCACTCCCCACCCGCCCCCACCCCGGCTGCCTCTGGGCGCTGTGGACGCTATTCTCCCACCCGCCCCCACCCCGGGCTGCCTCTGGGCGCTGTGGACGCTATTCTCCCACCCGCCCCCACCCCGGCTGCCTCTGGGCGCTGTGGACGCTGTTCTGCTTAAAGCTGCAAAGCTGCGCTGTGTGACCTTGCTCCCCACCTCCCCATCAGCAGCGTCTCCCATGCAGTGTGACACTCTGGACTCTGGGGATCTGGAGCGAGTGACAATGACTGAAGTGGAGTCACCTCTCAGTCCACCTTCTGCACTCTCCCAGAGAAAGAAGCCTGCGGTGCCAGAGTGAGGAGAGAGACGCTTCAGGCCCGCGATGGTGGCCCCCTTGTCCTCCCTGCGTTGCCTGAGAAGCCCCACCCAGAGCTCAGCCAGGGGCAAAGGCTGCAGCAGGGCTGACCCAAGCTGTAACTGGCGTGTCTGACCCTTCTGTCTCCAAGGTATCCAGGTGGCCACACCTGCCTAGGAAGTCTTTCCCCGCCACATTTGGTGCCCCCAGCTTAGGAGTGATGCAAAGGAGACCGAGGAAATCACCAACTGAGGGAACTGGTTTTCGTCATGGTGGTTTATCCCTGGGAGCTATCTAGACAGTGCTTCACTGTGTGGCCCAGGCTAGCCCTGAGGCCACACTCCTGCCTCGGCTTCTGGAGCTGGAGCGCAAGGATGACAGGTATAAGCCTCCAGGCCCCGCTTAAGGAGGGGGTGGGCATTTACTGGCTGGAAACATTGGCCTCCAGCTATGGCTTGGGGTCGGTCCAGCTCACTTGGCTTCATCCTCACCTTGCAATGATATGACAGCCCTGTGGGCCGCTGCTCCTGAGCCTGATTCTACGTTACAGGAAAGAACGCACCCTGTAACTGCCTCTGTGGGGAACACAGGGCCGGCTGTAAGTCAGCCTCCATCAGTCGCCCACCGCTGGGAGTGGTCTATGCGGAAATCAGTTTCCTTCTGCAAGCATCCATTTTAAAAACACAAACAAGACACTTGGCAGTGGCCACTCCCCAGCTCAGAGTCCCTCTAGTGCACACACTTGCTGTGCCTCCACAGCCATGTCTGGCCCAACCCCCAAAAGGCCAAGATCCAAGACTAAGTCAAAACTGAAGATGGCAGAAACGGAAGAGGAAGAGCCAGCTTCCAAAGGGAATGCTGGGAGAGAAAGGAAGTGGGCAAATGGCAATGAAGTGTAGATCTATAGATCTCCAGCCTTCACTGTACTTGTGGCTACCAAAGTTTCTTCCCTTCTCTCCTGGCAATTCGCAGGGCCGTGTGACATCCGACTTCCTGGAGACTCTGCACTAGCTCTGGCTTGAGGGGATAACCTAGCTAGAACCTGGTTCTCTTTGTTATGGTGATTCCACTTGTATTCAAGGTCTTAGCAGTGGGCCCCTGCCTGCCTCCCCTAGCTGACCCTGCCCGAGGGGCCGGGAAGCTTTAATCTTCTCATCCTGCTCCTGGATGGGAGGAGGCTTTGCATTTTCGATTCTTCTAGCCCACTGATATAAATACCTGTCTTGAGTTTAATAAAGTTGCCATTTACTCTTGTAGATGAGCCAGGTCTCTTTTGTCTGTGTCTTCTTTTTCAACCCTCAGGACAATTGTCCCTTCTCGTGGGCCCGAGTTCAGGAAGCGCGCAGCCTGGGTCAGGCTTGGGAATCCACTGGGAAATGCAGACTCTAACAACTCCCCACAAGCACTGCCTTATGTTGGGCACACACACACACACACGCACACACACAGTGTTCTACCTGCATGTGTGCCTGCAGGCCAGAAGAGAGCGCCAGATCTCGTTACAGATGGTTGTGAGCCACCATGTGGTTGCTGGGAATTGAACTCAGGACCTCTGGAAGAGCAGGCAGTGCTCTTAACCTCTGAGCCATCTCTCCAGCCCTGTTGGTTCTTTTTATGGAGGTGTGCACATGCATGCACGCACATGCATGTTGAAGGCCAAGGTTAAAGGCAGGCAGCTTAGGTTCGAGGCCAGCCTGTGGGCTGCAAATGCTGTTGAACATGTAAATGTGATATTTTGAAGCCTAAACAAAAGCTTTTCTACTGTGAAAAGGGTTCCTCTTGGAAACTGACATCTAGGATGCTCCCAGAGGAGCTCTGGTGTCAAATGAGGACTGAGAAAATACCACCTGATGGACCCCGAGACTCCGAGACCTGCAGTATGCGGACTCGCTCGTGCCTCTCGCGACCACATCTCGTCCTCACAGTAGCCCTGTGACAGAAACCGACATCCCTGCCCTTCCCATTTTCCCATCCTTGCAGGGTCTCAGGTGACCCAGGCCGGTCCTGAATTCACTGTGCAGGTGAGAATGGCCTTGAACTTCGGATCACCCCGCCCCCACCTCTCCAGTGCTGGGGTTATGGGCACAGACCACCACACAGGGCTTATGCAGAGTTGGGGGTGGGCCCCAGGTTCCGGTCATGGGAGGCAAACAGTCAACTGAGGAGCCCCAGAACTCTTCCATTTGAGAGAAAAACAATAAGAACGAACCAACTGAGTTTGATTCAGAGCAATTGTTGCTACAGATGTTAACTGTTCGCCTTCAAAGTCAACTGTATTCTTGTCTAGAATAATAGAGTAAAGCTGCCAGGTGAACTCTAATAAACACCGTCCAAACAACCTCAGAAAGTCGGTTCACCCGTTAAGAAGACAGAACTCTAATAAACACCATCCAAACAACCTCAGAAAGTCAGTTCACCCGTTAAGAAGACACTCCAATTGCGAATCCAGCTGGTGGCCCTCCCCATCAAGACCTCGGCTCTAAATGGCTTCTCTAGTCTCCTCGGTTGTCACTCTTTGAAGCACCTGGACACACATCCTCAACACCTGGCTGCTTACATGGCTTCTTGTTCCCGTGAAGGGGTGCGTGTGTGTGTGAGTGTGTGTGTGTGTGTGTGTGTGTGTGTGTTTTCTCCTGCCATAGAATCCACCCTATCCCCAGCACAGCTAACTTCCTAACTCCTGTTGATGGCAGGAGTGGTGGCTCTCCCTGTAATCTCAATATTGGGAGATGGAGACAGGAGAATTGCCACACGTTGGAGGTTAGCTTGGTTGTACAGTAAATTCTAAGCCAGTTTGGCTACAAAGCGAGACCCTGTCTGAAAGAAGAGTCGTTCAGTTAAAACAAGATTGGGAAACTTGGAGTTTCTTTTCAAGCTAAGGGCAGAACATACTAATATAGAAAGATGTGAAAAACGGAAGGTGATAAGAAGACGGGTATCAGTTGGGTGGTGGCGCACACCTTTGATCTCAGCACTCGGGAGGCAGAGGCAGGCAGAGCTCTGTGAGTTCGAGGCCAGCCTGGTCTAGAGTGAGTTCCAGTGCAGCTAGGGCTACACAGAGAAAAGCTGTCTTGAAAACCAACAACAACAAAAGTTGCTCTTTGACTCTGCCACTCTAGAACCAGCCAGTTCTTTGACAGAGAGATGCTACCAGACCAGAAACCAAACCAAAGCCTCAACCACTCCTGCTGACCAGACTGCTGAGCTCCACCTGGAAGTAGTTCCATAGCTGGCTACTCCCTGTTCTGCCTCTTCCGGGCTTCACCTGGCCTGCCTCCCAACCTGTTAACCCTTAAGCCAAGATTCTCTCTAGAACACTGAATTAAGCAAGTAGCGGCTCACATCAGTTTGCACATGGCAAACTCTAAATACTTAGCTCCATTGCAAAGGATGATGCTTGTCTTGAGGGTGGTGGTGTGGGCTTGGGTAGTTTGCGTGACTTGCTTCTGAACCCCCTTTTTTTTCTGGTAGCTCAAGAAATTGTCGGACCAACAGCAAGAGCAACACTGGGATTGGCTCCCTGATCTGACCACTCCTCCGAGGCAGTAGATCCTAAGGAAAAACCCAGGACAGTTCTTGCTGTAATTTAATATTATCCCCTAAATCAGTGGTTCTCAACCTTCCTAACACTGAGACCATTTAATACAGTTCCTTGAGTTGCGGGGACCCCCAACCATAAAATTTTCATTGTACTTCATAACTGTAGCAACGTTATGTAAATATCTGATATGCAGGGTATCTTATAATCAATCCCCTCCAAGGAGGTCGTGACCCACAGGTTGAGAACCTTTGCCCTAAATGAGACCATAAATGAGAACCACCACCAATAAATAAGTAAATAAGTGGGTGAAAATTCCATCTGCTCTGACACAAGCCTGCTCTCACGATGTGAGATCACCATCAGAGATGTGTCTGTTCTTTGGAAATGCAGTTTACTGCACACTTCTTGGAACTGGAGAACAAGGTGACTGAGAAGGCAAGTCATCAGAGGTCTGCCAATCCCTCACGGTAGCTTGGGTCTGCCTGGCAAAGTGTTTACGTTACCCACTACTGCGGACTTTCCAAATAAGGCTTCGCCCATGGTTAGCACCGTGTTGACATGGGGTGACAGAGACTTCCCTTTCGGGAAAAGGAAACAGCAACTCTGGATCATCTGACAGCACCCAGACGCCGTGTTTGTGGAACTGAATTCTGTTCCTCTTACAAATCCCATGCTCACACTGGTCCATGGTGTGAGCCCGGAAGAGAACTCCCCACCAGCAAACAAGAAACTCTACAGTGAAAACCGGCAAGATGGCCTCTTGCAATCCATCCACAGCTCAAGGGCTCAACCCCCAAAGCTCATTGCACACTAGACGCTGAAGTCCCAGGCTATACATCTGGGTCCCCTTGGCCCTTCCTCAGGCTTATTTAATTTACCAGAACAGCACACAGGAGCCAGGGAAACACCCATCTGTGTGTGCTGGTTTATTTCAAATGATACAGATGAAGAAATTCACTGAGCAAGACACACCATCCTCCAGGCAGCTCTCCAGATGAAGATGGAGCCTTTGCCACGTAACATGCATGCAGGGAAGCATGGGCAGTCATGTTGAAATGGGATAGATCAAATGGGGAAACCCAGCAATGCTGGGGAGATGGCCCCAGTGCTTTGAACAGTCTACCTTTCTACAGCAAAGAGGCAAGAACCCTTTGGAATGGAGTCTGATGCTACACTTCAAATAACTCTCTTCTAATTGTATTAGGAGTACTACTCTGACATAGAGCTGGCACTGGAACTTAACCCAAGGTCACCTCTATTTTTTCTAAATGGTTTTTATTTTTAATTATGTGTCTGGGGGTGGGGAGGAGGCACGTGAGTGTAGGTACCCACAAAGGTCAGAGAGCAACCTGAAGCTGGAGTTATACATAGGTGGTTGTGAGCACCCTGATGTGGGTGCTGGGAACTGAACTCAGTTCTTCTGAAAGAGCAGTAAACACTCTTAACTTCTGAGCCATTTCCCCCCAGCTCCAAGATAAAAAGAGAGGAATATTTGCTTCCATGACCTGCCTTAGGGAAGAGAAATTCTCATTTCTATAATTTGTCTTAGGGATGGAGAGGAGAGTCAAGAATCATAGAAATGTAAATGTTATACAAATATGTGTGTGTACTGGATATATGTGTATGTATGTGCATATACATGGATATGGGTACTGGGTGGCTGTCTTACCGAGGAAAGAGGAAAATGTCACATACATTCTCTCTCTTTTTTAAGACAGGGTCTCACTGTGTAGCCCCAGGCTTGCCTTGGAACTCAGTTAATCCACCTGACTCTGTCTCCCAAGTGCCAGATTAGTGTGCACCCCCACACTAGGCACCGCACACATGCTTTGTGCAGGCCTGTGGGAGAAGCGCAAGGTGCTGCTCTCAGGCTTTGGTCACCTCAGTTCCTAAGTGTTCACAGGGTGGAAGGTCAGGCTTCTCCTGAAAGGAACGAGGAGCAGTCTTTCTGTCCCCAGTGTCTGTCTCTGGCAGGGCTCTATGGTGTCTCCTTGACTTTGCCTACTCTCTCTCTATGTCTCTCTCTCTATATATATATATTTCTTTTAGCTTGTTTAAATTCTGTTAAACCATTGGCCGAAAGCAGCTTCTTTATTCATTAACCAATAAAAGCAACACATATACAGAAGGACCTCCCACACCACCCATGGAGTCCAGAAGAGGACACCAGATGTGTGCTGGGAATTAAACCCTGGTCCTGTCAGATGAACAGCCAGCCCCCAGAATATTAATTAGGGGGAAAAAAATCAACGGACAATACATTTTGTAAAGAAGCCTAGGGCAGGAAGATAGTCTCTTTAAGGGGAAAAGTCCCAAACCCCGTACTAGAGTTGAAGCCTATCCAGAGCCAGTCCCTGCCCTCCACCCACACTGGTCCTCATCTCAACAAGGCCTCTAGGGGGCAGCATAGCAGAGTGAACACTGAGCAGCCTGGGAGAACAAGGGGAAGCAGCCCACACCATATCCAAGAAAACCCACTCCATCTCATTTGTAAAAACAGTGTAGGAACCTAAACACCCCCTGCTGCTGAAGCAACCTGTTTCAAGGAAGAAATGGCAGGATGAGAGAGGCAGGGGTGGGCAGGGGTTTCTAAGGACTGCCTGGGTCTGTTGGTGACTTTTCATGTTCGCATAGCTTTCTACAGTCTTCCATGTGTGTGTGGCTCACAAGGAAAATGGTGTTCATGCCCAGGACATGGGGCAAGAGGAAGGAAACAGAACTGGCACCTGGAAGAATGATGTGACTGTTCCCAGAAAACAAAACAAACAACCCCCCCCCAAAAAAAACCCTTGTAAACATTATTGAATTCCAGTATGTATGTCTCTCAAAAAAGCTTGTTCCAAAACTTTGAAAAAAATATATATATAAATCATAAATAAAGACACACAAATATCAACTAACAACTTCAATTTTTAATAATAGAAACAATTTTGCCATTCCAGACACAACTTCAGGGGAGAAAAAAATCTTCCCTATAAAAATAAAACTTAAACTCATCAACATTATAAATATAGCTTTTAACTTCTAGATTTAAAATGCTCCCCTGCAACTCTGCCCTTCATTTAACACCGTTCGTTCGTTTGGGTACCATCACATTCTGGAGAGAAAACAGCATTACAGTAAAGCCTGCTTTCATTTTACAGAAAGGCTGGAACAACGGGTGACAATAAAGATCTTTGGCCTCTGGGGCTCTTTCTCACGCTTTAGAAACGCTGCTGTAGTAACCAGTGTTAGGGAGAACAGCAGTCTTCAGGAACCCGGACCGGGCAGATCTTCAACAGTTTCCGAGTCACGAGGTGTAGTGCGCACGGCAGCGAGCGAGGTTCAAACGAACACAGATGAGGATTCCTGCATTACACAGTCTACTTCAAGTAAAAAAAAAATAATAATAAATTCACAGATAGCCATCAGCCACTACTTTCAGGTTCTAGCAGGGTCTTGAACTGAGAAACTAATGCTTCACCAACTCTAAGCTTACTGGGAGGAGTCATTAGAAGACCAGGTGGTTGGCGACAGCAGACACAAACCCAAGCCACAGTTGCAATAGTAAAACCAGCACAGAAGCCACCAAGGCATTCCCTGAATAACAAAGGCAAAGTGTTGGGTGGCGGCGTCACTAAAGCCTCGCTGATGCACTAGAAATCACATGCAAAATTAAACAAGATGGCCATTCATATTTTATAGCTAGTTCTCCTGTTTTTGTGTTTATTTTTTTTCCAACTCTTCCTAATAGCTTAGACGATCTGATTGTCTCGGGAGCTTGCGGGGCACACCCTGCACTTGGATCTGCCCCACAAGATGACAGCCTCTGACAAGTCACGAGAGCCACCGTGAAGGGACAGATACTCATTCAAAGGCACGGTTCATAGAAAGGCAAAGAGCTGGAGCACCTTGGAATTTCCAAAAGAATCCATTAAGTCTCACCCATTAACAATTCCTTGGGAATTTATAAACAACAACAAAATCTACCTAGACTCAAAGCAGAGTGACGCAAGGCCCCTCTGGAAGCCCAGCACACCGCTCCCTCTGCTCTCCGATTTGCAAGCTGCTGCAGAAACCGAGGAGACAGTGCCCGTCCTCAGGAAGGCTTCTATTGCACATGCATTTCTTTGGTTGGAAGGAACACGCACAAGTCTGTTAAAATAGTTCCAGAATGAGCGGCTGCTGTGTGGTCAGCGGGGTGTGGACTTGCCTTCCTTGGGGCCTCAGTCAAGTCTCTGAGAGGCAAGGATGTGGTAGGATTGGCCTTTAATCAGCGTCCCTGTCCTCTACTTTTAAGAACTCTGGAGAGGGATGAAGGGGCACCAAAGGGGGAGGGGAAGGGGGAGGGGAAGAGGAAAGGGGAGGTGGAATAAAGGGGAAGAGAGTGATTGTCAAAGTTTGCTGTGAGCCCTGGACTTGATACATCTTCTAGCTAACAGCTGAGGGTAAACAGCTGCCCTTACCTAAACTCCTTTTTAACTGAGAAAAAACTCAGGGTGGGGGAGGGCAACTACATTTAACAGAGATCAGTCATGGTCAGGCCCCACCTACACCTACAGAGAAGCTATACCCAGAGACCATTGCTCTACACCAGCAGAGCCGGGGAACTGGTGCACAGATGCCAGGTCCAGCCGCAGGAGCAGGAGACCTACCTCTGGATCCCCACAGGGCCAGCCACAGGGGGGGTTCCTCGGGATCACCTCAGTCAAGGGTAAATCCACCACAGGCCAGCTGCAGTTCAGGGACCCCTCCTTTGGGCTTAGCTCCTAGCTCTTTGGCTCTGACCCCACACTTTACCACTAAATCAAGCAATCTTAAAACATCAACCCTGAATGCTTTTAAATGCTTTTGACTCCTTTATGAACAAATACACCTTCCTCCTCTATGGCTAACTCAGAAGCCACGCTACCCTCCCAAGCGAGGGCTCCCTCCACTCCCTCTACCTTCCCAACATGCTCTTTACTTTCTTCATCAAAACTCTTACACAATCTTTTCCCAACCCCCCAGAGTTCCTACATTCCTGTGTCTTTCAGATCATGGAGCAGACTGTTCTGAATGAAGACAACCAAGCAGGTTGTTTCGCCGCAGGACAAGTTTGCAAAGACCGCTTGTTAGTATCTGCACACCCTGAAGCCTAACAAAGATCACATAATCAAAGTAACGAGAAGAAAACAGGGAATTGACCCGGTGTTCATGCTTCCGAGCACTCCACAGGCCCGAGGACCACAGGCTCACAGCTTGCAAGAGGTAACGTCGCCATGCCAACAGAACAAGCTTGCGGAGTCCCTTGTGCCAATCGGTGAGGCGCAGGATGCTGCGTGCGCAGGCTTTGAGAACTGTGTCTAGAGAGGAAAGAGGAAGGCCCTAGCGTGGCGGGCACGGGAACAGCTCTCTGAGCAGGGGCGGTGCCGCTCTTTCACGGGTCCGAGCTGTGCCTTCCTGACAGGAAGCCCTCGCCTTAGCCGGGCTTCCACACCTCGCCCAGGGCTTCCTCCAGCTTCTGCCTGTAGGCTGTGTAGCGCCGCTTCAGGCTCTGCAGCTGCTCGTCTTCCTCCTTGTCCAGGATGCGCAAGAAGTTCTGCAGCTCTGGGAGACTGAAGGCTTCCCACTGCGGGGAGAGAGGAACAGGCCGTGTGTAACTCGGAGTCCGGGCAGAATGACTTCAGTTCCTTTTCTCCCCAGAGCACAATCTAGCTTTGAGCTCATGATCACCCCCCACCCCAGCCTCCTGAGCGACTCCAGGCCCTGCAGAACACTGCTATCAGAAAGTGGGGGGTACAGCTGTCCTCAGCTCCTGGTCCAACCCTCCAGAGATCAATTCCTGGTATCTGAATCTTCTTCCTCTCCCACAATCTCATCAACTCCAGACAGTTCCGCAGCCCATCTGTTTTCTCCATCTCTGCCCTCTGCCCCCCAGCTCTTTGCAGCCACTCCTGGACCCTGGCATCAGCCTCCTCTTCTCAATCTACCCTTACCCAGCTCTCCGACACACACGGGTGGGTATGGCAAACGCTCATGGTGACAAGCATTCAGTTGGCACCCACTGAACACCACATGAAGTAAGAAATCCTCTACCTCCCCAGCCTGACATCTCACACTCACCCAGTACCCCAACTGGCTTAGGGCTTGTTCGCCCCTGCTCTGCTTTGCCTGGCCACATCCTGCTCACCCTTTGGATCTCAGCCAACCTTCCTGAGCCGGCTCCCAGGATCTCTCACGCTCCCTTGCTATGCAAGGTGCTCACTGCAGCACTTAGAAGCCCTGTCACGATCCAGACTGAAATGACTGATGCTCCCTCCCAGTGTCCCTCACCTACACCTGCCCTGAGTGGCAGCTGTGTGCCTCTCACTACTTGGAGTTTGTTTCCTGTCCTGATGACAGAGGTCTGGTTCCTTAACAGCGCCTCTCCCCACAGCAGGTACTGTATCACACACACACTCAAATGCACGCAGGCACAAAACGGAGTGACCTGAGACAGTGAGATGCCTCAGTGGTAGCATTGTCTCTTATCAAGCTGATGACTTGAGTTGATACACGTGGAGAGACCCGACTCCTGCAAGCTGTCCTGACTTCCATATATGTGCCATGCGAAGTGCATGAGCACACATCCACACAAAACAATAAAGTATAATTAAGACAAACTTCTGCAGTGACTGTCAAGGAAACCGCTGCACGAGCCTGGTGGCCTGAGTTCTAGAACCTTCCTAATGTGGAAGGGAAACAGTTCTACCCGGCTGTCCCCGAGCTCTATGCCTGTGCTGAGGTACACACACCCACAAACACACATCACACATACACACAATAACAACGATGATACTTTAAAGGAAATATTTAGGGTCACTTTATAGATCATTTTGAGTTAGAAAAGCTAGAACAATTAGAGAGCTTGCCTCAGGCCAAGTCCCCCGTCTAAGCCAGCAAGCCTCTTCTCCCAGCTTCGTGGGCTGATGCTCCACAGGACACTTCACACTTCTGGTTTTTAAATTTTTATTTATTTTTATTTTATGTGCACTGGTGTTTTGTCTGCATGAATGTCTGTGTGTGAGGGTGTCAGACCCTCTGGAACTGGAGTTACAGACAGGGGTGAGCTGTCATGAGGGTGCTGGGAATTGAACCTGGATCCTTTGGGAGAGCAGTCAGTGCTCTTAACCACTGAGCCGTCTCTCCAGCCCTCACTTCACACTGAGGGTTCGCAGATGATCTAAGGGCAGAAAATGTTTTCCAGTGAACCCCCAGGACATCCTCCCCTGGGGAGAAGGGTGCTCACGCCAAGAACTCCCAAGTCACCCACTGCATGAAGAGAGAAGTGGACACTGAGGCCCACATGTGCTGGGTTTCCCTTTATTTCCTGTCAGAAGGAAACTGGCCTGGAGTCCTTCCTTAGCAGCAGATGGACGGGGAGGCTCAGCGGGATAAGTGATACGGGGCTGGGAGGAGACTAGAACGGTTCTCTGCACAGAGCCGGACATGCAAGAATTATTTCCTCCAACTCCTGAAGGAGTCACACCAATGCAATGTCCTAAGAGAATTATACTGTAAGCTAACTTGGGGATCATTCCGGGCGATTCTGCTCCCTCCCGCCCCACCTCCTTGATGAAATAAAGCAGGCCAGCTGTTCTGTGAGGTTGGACGCCACTGTCAACAGCCGCTCGCTCACCTCTCCAATTTCGTGCTCTCGAAGAACAAAGCTCAGCGTGTCAGTTCTGGGCCCTGCCACCAAGCGCAGGTAGAGCGGGTGCTCCCGGTCGGAGAGCTTGCAGGCATACACTGGGGAGGGGGACAAACAGCCTGTTAAAGAGAGACAGTCTCCCCCACCCCACCAAGTCACAGCAACAGCCCACTCCCGAGCCTCTATAAACACCAAGGGCCCACGGTGGACAAAAAGCCCAGGATACACCAAGCCTTGATGAGGAGGAAATGAGTTCTAAAAACAAAATAAAATAGGAATTTGCCCCCAAAGATTCTGTCCTTCCTGTCAGAAAGAAGACAAACTTTTGGGGAGAAAAGAGGAACTTGACCCCTTTAAAAACAATGAAAGTATCTCAACCAAACAAACACAAATCCAAAGCTCTAGGAGCAAACCTCTTTGTAGATTAAGAACTGGCAGCCAAGCGAACCAGACATTTGTCACACGGACACAGCGTGTCTCCACACAAACACACTCTAGTGTCTAAAGATATGCCAGCCACGAGGGTGACAATTCAGGACACTGCCACTTTTGACTGTGTAGCTGATGTCCAGCTGAGCTGGCAAAGTTGCTGGCAAGCTAAAAGTGTCGCCAGACCTTCCCTGTCCCTTGCTACTTCAGATGGAACTTCATCCCAGTTTCCTGGTGGTTGCTCGTCCTCCACCAGAAGCCCGAGCTCTGTCGGGACTGTGTGTAAGAAATGGCACACCCTCAAAAGGAAGCTGTGTGTCAGTCACCCTGTGCGTCAGTACATCTTCCTCTATGGCTGCTGCGGGCTTTTCCCAGAGCCAAACGGGAGGAAGCGCAAACAGCTCACTGCTATTTGTTATACTTCCGGGTCGGCACAGAGAGAATCATAGACACCAACTTCCATCAAACGCCTCGCCCGGGACATCCCATCCCATTTTATGAGATAATCTAATATTCTTTCTATCCACTGGGCATGGGCATAAGTTCAGACAGACCCCAGGTCAAAACACCACTTATTCTTTTTACATGCGAGTTGAATGAATTATACGTGTGCCTCTTTGTCCATCACACCACATGTGGGCGTGAACTTCAAACGTGAAAGCATTACTGAAGACTTCAACCACAGAAGTCTTCTTTTTTTAAAAAGTCTTATTTATTTATTGTGTATACAGTGTTCTGCCTGCATGTATCCCTACAAGCCAGGAGAGGGCTCAGATCTCATTACAGATGGTTGTGAGCCACCATGTGGTTGCTGGGAATTGAACTCAGGACCTCTGGAGGAGCAGCCAGTGCTCTTAATTGCTGAACCATCTCTCCAGCCTCCAGAAGTGTTCTTTTGTGTCCTGAAAGGTATTAAAATCATTGCCACCACACCCTCACCAAACCTGTCCCTCCAGGCTGCCAGCAAATCTCCCACACCACACGTGCCTACTACATGCAGCCTCAGAGCCCCTCAACCACTCGGCTTAGAGATACAAACAGCCAGGAATCATAAAGATCCGCCTTGAGAGGGTGGCTTCCAGTGTGTCCCTGGGCTCTGACACAGTACGACACGACATCTGTCCGCTGCCCTTTTCCTAACGAATGCAACAGACAAAGAGAGCAGACAGACCACTCACCTTGGTCTTCCCTGTGACATCGTTTATAAAGTGCAAACTTGCTGGGGCTCTCCGTCACCAGAAACTTCTTGAGCAAGGCCTCGATCACTTCTCCCACGGTGTTTGTACTGCTGATGTGAAGTGTGTTCACACACCCTCTGCTACTGGGTGGGAGTCTCCCGGGGTTGGCTGGGGTCTGGGTCGGTTTGCAGAGTTCCATCTGCACCTTAATGAAGCCAGTGTAAATCCCATTTGAGTTCTGAAGAAGGAAGAAAGGTCACCGTGAGTGGTGTAGGCAGAACAGGAGTGCATTAGTACAGCGAAGACAAAGGGGAAGGCCAGCAGCTCTTTGTGGCTCTTCTCTCAGCTTCCCAGGAGAGTGCAGAGAGGGATTCAGCGGGGAATCGATGCAAGGTCTTCGGAAATGCGGCAGAGGAAACACGCTAGCCCTGTGGCTCGCTGGCCCTGAGGTTTGAGCCTTTGAAGCCTTGTGTGCTGGGTCAGTACCGGACACACTCCTGTGCGGTACATGTCTGCCTTGAAGCCCAAGGGCTATCCCCACTCAGTGCAGGGCATCCCCACCCATCCTCAAGAGAAGGTCAGAGCGAGGGCTCTGACACACCAAAGGCAGCAACGAACGGACACCAGGCAAACAGGCTGGCTTTACTCCCAGTGGTAGTGAGGTCACATACCAGATGACCTCTTCCACAGAACTCTGTTAAAGTCATCAGTGCACAGCATGCGATGCACGCCAGGCACCTTTAAAGCACATCCAAACCACGGGAATTACAGGCATGTTCACTACAAACATGGGGTGGCCACCTCTTAGCTGTGGCAGTAGTTGACGATCTAGTCTTCACTCTATAAGAACACGTCACTATTGTGTTGATTAAAACAAATCAGTCTTATTTAATAAATACTTTGTGGGAGAACTTTAACATCTTCCATTATTTTTCTTTTCTTCAGGACCAATTTACAAATTTCCTTGTTTGTTCTTGTGTGTGTGCTTCTGGCCTCCAAGGGCACCCACGCTCACACAGACACATGCATACACTGACAAAAGGGAGGTGAGGAAGGAGGGAGGGAGGGAAAGAAGAGAGGGAGGGAGGGGGAGAAGGAAGAAAGGAAGGAAGGAAGGAAGGAAGGAAAGAAGGAAGGAAGGAAGGAAGGAAGGAAGGAAGGAAGGAAGGAAGGAAGGAAGGAAGGAAGGAAAGGAGGAAAGGAGAGAAGGGGGAAGGAAGGGAGGAAGGAAGGGAGGGAAGGAGGGAGGGAAGGGAAGAAAGAAGAAAGGAAGGAAGGAAGGGAGGGAAGAAGGAAGGGAGGGAGGAAAGAAGGAAAGAAAGGAGAGAGGGAGGGAAGGAGGGAAGAAGGAAGGGAGAAGGAGGAAGGAGAGAAGGAAGGCAGGCAGGCTCGCAGTTGGACGAGCGAAGGCTAACTTGGGGTTATCTATCCCCACCTCTCCTTCTGGTGGTTCTAAGTCCACGGGAGAGGTGTCTTTCATCACAGGTTTCACGTGTGAAAGCTCGGGTCCATAGGTCACAAAGTCCACCCGGGCCAGTTTTAAGCGGGTCACTCTGTCCTTTCAAAGATCTCCGCCAGTTCACAAGCAATGGATGAACAGACAGCATGGGGGATGGGGAGGGGCACAGCTCTGGAAAAAACGGCACCAGTGGACCACAAGTGCTGCAGAGGAAGGTCGCTAAACGGATGGGTGAAGCTTAATTCAGTCAGAAGATGTCGTGAAGACGGCGGCTTTGCTGTCACCCCTAAACCCCGACTGTCCAGCTTCCGTGTCACACGGTGTGGGACCTCGAAGGAAGCTGAACGTTAGGTACCCTGTTCACAGTGGACAGTCAGGGCAGAAAACTCTCAGATAGACTAAGTCCTGATCCACGGGCACGAAATCCTTTAGCTGCTTTCACATCTATTCTACAGTGGGTAGAAATCAAAGGAAATCTCAATAGAATCGGAGCTACTTCAGATATATTAGACAATGCCCAAATATCCCCTGGCAAGGAGGAATCGCAAATCTACTAAGACAAAATTAATGCATTTCCCTTTTAAAATACTAATGTGTGTGTGTATCGACTGTGTGTCCTAAAACATAGGTTTCGGGGGTCAGAGGACAACCCTGGTAGTTTTGTTCTTTTCCTCTCCATGTGCGGTCAAGAGTCATCATTAGGTTCATTTGACAAGTGGCTTCACCTTCCTGCCCAAATTTCACCCTTTGCAGGGGGAGGCACTAACCCAATCATCAATATTCAACCTCAGCTACAAAGAGATTCAATTTGAAAGTTGCAAAAATACCATTTTCCAGGTGGGCGGTGATGGCGCACGCCTTTAATTCCAGCACTCGGGAGGCAGAGGCAGGCGCATCTCTGTGAGTTCGAGGTCAGCCTTGCCTACAAGAGCTAGTTCCAGGATAGGCTCCAAAGTCACAGAGAAACCCTGTCTCAAAAAACCAAACCAACAAACAAAAAAACATCTTCCTGTTCTGCAGACCTTGACCGTTAATTGTTACTAGATTAAAATACTAGTTTTTTTTTATACATTAACAGGTTTATGTATTATTTGGTGTGTGGCTGTATGCGGGCCCATGTGGGCCACAGTGCACTCAGGGAGGTCAGAGAACTCTCCCATCTGCTCACTGTGGGGTGTCTCTGCCTCTCTGTGTAGTTCCTGCTGCTGCTTTTGGGTATCCAGGCTACCAGACCCGGAAGCCCCACCCCCCGACAATTCTCCTTTTCCCTGAAGGGGTATTGGTATTACAGATGTGCCCCACCCCATCTGGCCTTCTCTTGGGTCTTGGGGATCAAACCTGCCAGGCTGTACCCGCTGAGCCATCTCCCTGACCCCATTTGTTTTTCAGTAAGAGCCAACTGAACCAGGAAGGCCTTACCAAGGTCATCTTCAACTTGTCTGTGACGGCTAAATTGTACTTATGGACTTTCTCTTTGATTTCCTCTTTGCTGAGGTAATTGTGAGTTTCCTTCTCTTTCTCCACATCCTAGAAGAAGAAAAAAAAAAAAACAGATCACGCCATGCACGAACAACACAGGGGGAAGAAGGCAGATGATGAACTAGGCGTCTTCTACGTCCCACAAGAGCAGCAGGCACACCTCGCAAGACACGACACCGCTCCATTCCACCTCTAACACCCAGGCTCAGCCGCCACGCATGCCCCCCATTTCCCACACAGAAATGAAACCAATCCACCAGCAACTGAAAACAGTGCTTCATTAAACAGCATTCTGCAAATCTCTCTCTGGTAAATTTCCCTTCTGCAAAAATATCATTCCGCACAGTACGAGCTGCTGGACACTTCGAATTCAAACAATTGCTTATTTACATGTTTATTTCATTTTCTTCAAGATGGGGTTTGTCTATGTAGCCCTGGCTGTCCTGGAACTAACAGAGACCTGCCTGCCTCTGACCCCTGGAGGCTGGGATTAAAGCTGAGAGTCCCTATGCCCAGTTTCAAACAGTATTTAAAGATGCATGTCTAGAACTGTATTAATGTTATGGTCGCTCCAGTTTTCCAGTCTATATTAGCAATAAGCACAGAAGATAATGGATGCCAACCAACCGGCGCTAGCCATCGACCTGTCAAACCATGAACAACCTCCCTAGGCCAAGCTGCAAGTGACCAGACCCCTCTACCCAGCACCCTGCCTACTTAACCCCCCACCTCTCTCTCCTTAGAACCTGAAAGGGGAAAACTGACTGGTTAAATTCTCCTGTGATCCTTTAGAATCTACAACTAATTTACTATCTGTAAATAAAAGACCGTACATCCTACTTAGCTTTATGCCAACTTAACACAGGGGAGAGTCATTTGGGAATAGGCGACTTCAGCTGAGAAAACGCCCCCATGAGACTGAACTGTGGGCAAGCCTGTGAGGCAACTTGATTGGATGAGGGATGTGGGTGGGCCCAGCTCACGGTGGGCGGTGCCACCCATGGACTGCTGGGTGAACACTCCTCCACGGCCTTACCCTCAGATTCCTGCACCCTGATTTTCCGGGACAGTGGACTACATACATGTAACTCTAAGGAGTAAATTCTCTCCTCCCCAAGCTGCTGTTGCTCAGCGTCTCACCCAGCAGTGCAGACCCCAAGACAGCACAGGTGCAGCCACGTAAGCACAGTGCCTACCTGGGTCACATGGAACTCTCCCAGTCATCCAGCAGAGCTGGCATAATTACTTCAGAGTTCAGGTGAGGCTAGATTTGAGGATTTGAGGAAGTGAATTAATTTCGCTGCTGAGGGGAGGCCTAAGCCCAAAGCCCAGCAACTCTCTCCAGCCCAGCTGTCTGGTAGCCTGTAAGTGTCTCCACGTGGGCACTTTCATGTAATCCTCCCCCAAATGAGCTAGTCTCTCTGTGGTGTAGAGAAGAGTCAGCCCTTCCAGTGACATCCCCCACTAGTGACCAGAGCAAGCGCCATCTTACTCCGGGGCCTATATGTCATTTCCACGAAACCGGACCGGTCTTCAAGGCTCTGGCCTAGAGGAACATTTGAAAATGTAAAGACCATGTGTCTAGTCAGATTCAAGCTCGAGGAGCGGATTGGAATTAAATTTGGAAGGTTTATCCTCCAAAAAGAGGGGCTGAAGACACCTCTCTTCTGTAACATGAGGGCCTGCTTGTTGGGGGTTTCTGCCAAAGCCCACCAGGCTCACGGTAAGATATTCTCCGGGCAGGTAGCTGTTCCGTGAGTGACCCCTGCATGGCAGCGGCAATAAACACATCAGGAATGGGCACTACGGAAGCCACGAGCGGAAAGCCACCCAGAATATAAAAAGGCTCTTAGGCCCTAATGAGGGTGATGGACATCTACTGTGACCGTTTCCAGTTTCTACGCTGGCCTGGCATAGCCTCCAAGACTAGACAGCACTGGAAAGTAACCAGCACGGATAATGTGCTCATCTCTGTGGCTCTACGGGCAAGCCGGAAGCCCGCTGGGAACACTGCCCGTGTCGATGTGGTCCCCACCGCACTCCCGGAACAGTTTTATGTTTGTTGTTACTGTGGGTTAAGATTTTCCCAAAGAAGACTGGAGAGAGGACTTAGCGGTTAAGAGCACTGACTGCTCTTCCAGAGGACCAGGGTTCAATTCCCAGGACCCACATGGCTCATACCTGTCTGTAACTCCTGTTCCAGGGGACCCAACGTCCTCATAAGAGACATGCATGAGGGGAAAAACACCAATGTACATAAAATATAAATAAATTTTTAAAAAGAAAATAAAAGATTTTCCAAAAAAAATCTAAGCAAATGTAAAATATGTAGTCCAAACTGGGCACGCCTTCCATCCTAGCACCTGGACAGAGGCAGGAAGATCTCTGTGAGTTCCAGGCCAGCCAGGGCTGCACAGTGAAACTCCATCTCAAACAAAACAAACAAACAAACAAAAATGTAGCCCATTCCTCCTTGCCGTTCTTTCCAGTCGACAACTAGTCAGCCAATGGCCACAAGCTGACCAGGGAAATGAGGAAGCCTTCCTTGTCTACACATTCAGTTTGTGTTAACTGCCCAGAGGCCTTCAAAGTACACACAATTATTCCCGAGAAGACAGGGTAAAGGTCATTGCCTCCTCCATAGACACCAAACTCCTTCCGTCCCTTATAAAGAAAAGGGCACAGGATTTACTGCTAACTTCGGCATCTCTTCCGCACGGTTCAGACCGTCTCCAGGGTATTTCCTCCAGCAACAGTTGCTGCTGCACGGTAAAAGTAGTACTAGTGAGGAGAACAATTCTGTGGTTGGCTGAATCCAGAGACAGAGACCATACAGGTTCAGAGGGGTGTGATAAGAACTGAAAGCCCAGTGTGGTGGCACATGCCGGAATCCCAGCACTCAGGAAGAGCTAGCCTCGGCTACATAGCAAGAGCCTGTCTTTAAAAAACAGAAAAAAACTAAGGAAATAGCTGGGAGGTAGCAAGCACGAGACTTTGCCTTTGATCCCCAACGCTGCAAATGAGCACCAGGCTAATGGTGTGGGGTGACCGAGCAGGCACAGGAGGGGCACAGCATTCCAGCGAGCTCCGGGCTCTGCTCCCTGGTCTACCCCAGGGCCTCCTAGGTCTGTTGCATCACTTCCTGCTAGATGCTGGATCTGTCACATCTGAAGAGCTCCTGACCTAAGAGCAACAGGTCGGTAAAGATCTAATCTGACGCTGTTCTCTCTAGTAAGACCAAAGGAGGGACATGGCTCCAGCTCTGGGATCAGGGAAGCGAACAGCCCCAGGCCACTGGCTGCACACAAACATACTGCATGTGTATCCTGGGGGCTTCAGCTGGGTGGGATCCCAAGGAAAAGAAGTGAAGGGGCAAAGAGAAGGGTTCTCAGTCAATTCTCAAGGGCAGCCGTGATGACGTGGGCTAGAGCCCGCCCCTAGGTCCCCTGGAACCAGGAGCCCAAGGCACTGAGAGGAACATCAAAGGAGCCATGTCCTCAGGACAACCCACACAGGAGCACAGAGGAACTCAGAAAGGTTATCTTTACTTCTCAGAGATTAAACCAAGGAAAGAGCAGAAAGCATTCAGAGTTGTAGTCCATGACCTACAAGACCCCTGCTGGGCTGAGCATATCACTGTTCAGAGATCAGCTGGACAGTAAATCCTGGGAAAGCAGAGCATTTCAGAGCAGGGTTTAAAAAAATTGGGGGGAGGGGGCTACTTGATCTAATCCTATCGGCTTGTGCCTGGGGGCGTGGCACACAGACACAGGGACTCGGTGAAGCTGGAGCTGTCTCCTGCCTGGGGCGGGGAACGGACACAGGGACTCGGTGAAGCTGGAGCTGTCTCCATCCCAGGGTGCACGTTATCCCTGGGTAGTCCAGGTTGAACATGCCTGACAAATTCAGCTGCTTCAAGTACAATTGCAGACAGGGGTGGGAAATGACACTGATTTCAGGTAGGGTCCAAACTGGAGAAGGACCCTTACCTTGGCGAGACTTCCAGGTTGTTTAAGCCTTTGAGAGACTCTTGTCTGCCAACCTGGGAAAGAATCCCTCCAAATACATGCACAGCCCTGCAGGAGGGAGGGAAGGAAACGCAACCCAGGCGGGGCAAAGAGGTGGGAAGGAAAAGGGCAAAGACGGGGTTAAAGCCGTGGCGTGGCAGAGCACACTCTATAGGCAGGACTCTCATTTAGGGCAGGACAGGGAAGGGCAGAGGCAGCCGCCTCTGAATAATGCATGGTTATTGCTCTCGGCAGCCGGGGAGGGGCTGGTGCCACACCCCAGAGCAGCTGCTGGGCATGTTACAAGTCATCTCTGTCTGAGGCCACAGGGAGAGGCCTGCCGCCCCAAGTCCACGCTCGCCCCTGCCATTTCAGCCAGTGTGCCCGAAGAGCACAATTTGGGGCAACCTCGCTTCCTGGGTGGGGCCACATTTCCAGACTGTTTGTTTTCTCACTGGTGAGACACACCCACCTCACAGACACAGAGAACCTGCACCCAAGGTGTGTCCTCATAGGCTCATGAGTCAGGCTTTCCAGAGGCGGACCCCTACAGGTCTGACGGAGGATCCGTGGACAGCTTCTGTCTGTCTGGTAACTCTGAAGCTACACCAAAATTTAAAACACAAAGCCACTGGACAATAAAGGCTCAAACCATAATGCACAAATACGAGCGGCTTCAAAAGGGTAAAAAAAGACATGCACAATCGCTACCTCTGTTTTAGTTTAGCGACAGAACGAGAATTATGGTTTAGACATACTGAGGTCTGAGATCATGGCTCTGCCACACCCTAGCTGTGTGACCAAAAGCGAGTTCTGTAACCTCTCTGAGCCCTGGCTTCCTCGTCTCTGGGAGATGTGCACAAACAATGCCTACTCCATACAGCGGAGAGGGTACAGTGTAAGCCATCACTGGACAATTATTAGTGCCCACTAGCGCCAAGCTCCGGGCCAGGCTCACATCAAGCTGTGAGAGGCAGTTGGGATCGCCACCTCTTCCCAGCCAGCAGCTTGCTCCCTGTGCCCCACCCACGCCTGCCTGCT